GTCAATGTCGTGATTTGTTGGTCATGCATTATCCTCATCTGCTGTATAGCCATCTCCATTTCAAATTTAAAATTCTCTTTCTTCTTGGTTAGAGAATCCTCGAAAATTTTAGCCATCTGTTTTGTGTTAATCATAAGTGATTCATAAGATTATCTCGCGCTTGATATTGTATCATCAGAAGCCATCGCTGAGCAAACATCTGAGCAAGCATCTGACGTTTTATCATCTGAGGGTAGTCCCCTTTGCATTCTTTGGTAATCCCTTCGTCTACTGGTCCCCGATTGTAATCGAGTTATACGCTGGGATACTTCTGAAAAATGATAGGGACTAAAGTGTCGTGTTGACTTCCCTCTACTAGTAATATTGACAGATACTTCTGGAAATTCATCATCTTGAGTGGCTAATTTCTTTCTACGGAAACGCCTTGGTTTGGATTCGGACATTCCGATGGAGATTCTTTCGAACACTGAGACTCTCTCTAGGGCGGCCTTGGAACAGCAACATTCTGATAACACCGCCTTGATAATCTTGGAACACGGACAATGGGAGTCCGGTTCTTGATTATTCCTTCTCCGAGACTTATTGGTACCTCGGGCCTGATAGTACAACTCGTCGGTCTGATGGCCGGAGCAACCCATCGTGTGTTGGCACGACTCCCTAGGTATAACGTTCTCATTCAATGAGTATGTTTTTTTCTGGGAATTCGACGCTTTGTTAGCGTCTTCAGGAGTCGCTTGTCTGAGGCTACGTTTTCGCGAGCGTCGGCCTTCAACAGGCTCCTGGACTTCGACACACAATCCAATGAGGTCAGGTATATGACTTTTTCCATCATGCGTTCTTCTCCACTGCTTAGGACGACGATCACATCCCCCAGCCTAAAAAACTGCTCGAGATCTGTTCAATAGGCCTAAGCGCTCTTTGATTGGAGCCTTGCCTCGATCATCATGTGAAGGGCCAAGGCGATCTGTGATCTTTATCTTAAAACGGGACAAATCTACACTATCGCCGATCTCCACCGGAGGTGCTTGATTTGCTGGGATAATAACAGGGACCGTTGGAAACTCAGACAGGGCTGTAGGAAGTGAACCAGCAGTGAAACGGACCGAACCAGTTTGACTTTTGCCCGAACCACCCTTTGGTGGCTCGGTTCTGGCCGAGCCACCATTTGGTGGCTCGGTTCTGAAATTTTTCGACACATTCGGGCACCGTTTGGGTTGTTTTTAATGCCGGTTTGGACTTTGACCGTGGTTGTTTCAATTTTTCGACACATTCGGGCACCGTTTGGGTTGTTTTTAATGCCGGTTTGGACTTTGACCTCCAGACTTGGCGTGATCTTGGTGGCTCCTTGACCACCTCTTCTTGTTTTAAATTGTGCACTTCCTGCATGAGAACTCACGCATGCACGAGTAACGCGCGATGTTTCTGGATCCGTTCTTCAAGGGTGGAACGCATCCTTTTGATGCGGATCCATTCATTCGTCATTGGGTTGGAGGAGTTGGGTGCCCGTTGTTGTGGCGCTTGTCACCTCCTTGACTTCAGATCTGCTTCATAGCGGATTCCATCAACTGGCTCCAAGGCCTTGGCTAGTTGGTGCGCAAGGCGTTGTCGCCGTCTCTGACGTGCCCTCTTTGATAGAACGGGCACGTTATCAATAGTCAACTCCCCGCTCAAGGGGTTCAAATCTGTGGCTTCAACCTCATTGGATGCCGGTTGAGCCACAAGTGCAGCAGTGGCGGGGAGATCTTCTGGGGTCTTCAAATCCGAAGACCAACAAACTTTCCTGGATTTGCAAGGAGAGGTGGATCTGGGAGAGGAGGACAAGTACTCCTTGTACTTTTGCTGGTCAAACTCATATTCGACCTCTTCTTCGACCGGGATGAGAATCCGAGGTTGTGACACATCAGCCTTCGCAGAAAGGTTATCGACTCCCACTGTAGTCGCCAGCGTGTTTGGGTAGAAAATTAATTTCGTTGAAGAATCCATTACAACTTTAAACGTTACAACAAATTCAAGAAATTAGCCTTTTTATAAGACTTTCAATCAACGATTACAACTCTTTCTCAAAATACACACAATAGTAGTTCTAACTCCTATTGCTTGTGCAGGATCGTTGCCGGTGCCAGGGTTTATCCGTGGACCGCCTACGGATCAGATCCGGTTAGCAGAAGGTGGATGATCAATGCTTTTACTTCACGAAGGAAGTAATCACAGCAGCGGTAATCTCGACCAAGCGAGATCACGCCTCTTCTCGAGATTTAAGACTAAGCTTAAATCAGGAAGAATAGGAAGAACAAGTCTCAAATCTCTCGAACTCTCACTTTATTGAGGAACTCTGCCAAGATCTGCTAACTCTCTGAAATTCGTACTCTAATCTCCAACTCGACAGCACTTCGTCCTCTTGATTTCCCAGAACTGGAGAAATGAGCACCCGAGCTCGTATTTATAGGTTCCGGTTGAAGGGTTTTTGGATCGAAACAAGGGATTGCTCCTTATCTTCAGTTAATAACTGATTAACCATAATATCAGATCAGTTGGAACGCTCAAGAACAAACAAATCCCGAAAGAATCCGTAAAAACTAAAAAAAATATCAGATCAGTTGGGACGCTCAAGAACAAACAAATCCCGAAAGAATCCGTAAAAACTGAAAAAAACTGGTTTTGAGTCGAAACTGACCGATTCGCCACTCGGTATCGTGTAATAAGCCGAGCCACCAGTTTTTGAGGCTCGGTGTTGGCTGAGCCACCATTTTGGTGGATCGGCCACGAGCCACACTTTGGTGGACCTGGCCGATGCGGCCGAACGAAAAAGAAAAAAAAAATACTGGTTCGCCGAGTCGTCGATGCCGACTCGGCACGCCAGCGGGGGGGGCGGCTAATTAGTCTATCCGGATTTTGACTTGTTCCGTATGTTTTACGCATAATTTCGACATTTGTTGACTTGTACGACCGTATTTTGGTGGCCTGATGAGTGTGCGGGCCACTTGGTGGTGGCCGGCGACGTGCACAGGCCACTTGGAGGTGGCCAGTTTAGTGCACGGGCTAGTCGGTTCACTGATTTGGTGGCCGATGGTGTGCGGGCCACTGGGGACTGGTGGCGGTGAGCATGCGGGCCACTTGATGGTGGCCGGTGAGCACGTGGTCCACTTGGTTCGCCGATTTGGTGGCCGATGAGTGTGCGGGCCACTTGGTGGTGGCCGATGAGCATGCGGGCCACGTCATCAACAGTTTGTTGATTCGCTTCATGCGCTTGTCAGTATCAGATAATCCTCTTTGACTTAGATAATAGTGTTCATCATCTTCTCTGTGTCACAAGCTGCGTGTGGATACCTATAGGCATTTTTATATGCCTACAAATCAAATAGCCAAACGCATGATGAGGGATATGGGTTATGACTTCACTCGTCAAGAAGGCCTGAACTACGGTAGAGGGCGGAAGACGGTCATCCGCCCTACCTATGTACCTAAAGGCAGAACCTTGAACCACTTCACCAAGACCCGAAGAGGGTCAGGTTACACTTCCTCCTCATCAGAGTTGTTTTGCAACTTCGGTGAAGGCTCTGATGACACCCGCTCGGATGATCAATCATCGTATCCTCGGCATGGGACTCAGATGTCAGCTTGGGAGACCTGTTCAAGGACCTCACAGTCAATATGACTATGACGGATCCTACTAAAGTAGCAATGGTCGAGCAGATCCCATTTTACGATTAGGCATGGGACCACCATATCAATGATCAGTGGATTAGTTTCTTTGAGCAGCACGAACCACCCACCGAGGATGAAATCCTCCTGATAAACATGGGTGATGAGGCTAACGCCAAGCCCATATTTATCAGCGGTAGCCTACCCGCTCAAGAAAAAGAAGACCTCATATCCCTCATACGGGAATATATCAATGTCTTTGCTTGGAACTATAAGGACATGCCCGGGCTTGATCCTCAAGTTGCCATGCATCGCCTCAATATCAGCTAAGGCGCCAAGCCAGTCAAGCAACAACAAAGACGGTTTTGCCCATAAATCATGGAGGGAATCATGGTCGAAGTGAAGAAGCTAATCGAATCCGGCTTCATCAGGGAAGAACAACACCCCGATTGGGTGGCCAAAATTGTTCCAGTCCTGAAGAAAAACGGCAAGATTCGCATCTGCATTGACTTCAGGGACCTCAACACATCTTGTCCAAAGGATGAGTTTCCTCTACCCATCACGAACGTCATCATTGATAACACATGTGGGTTTGAGAGAATGTCCTTGATGGACGGGTTCTTAGGGTATAATCAAATCAAGATGCACCCTGAGGACGAGAAACATACCTTATTCCAAACTCCGATGGGGTGTACTGCTACACGGTTATGCCATTTGGACTCAAAAACATTGGCGCAACCTTTCAGCATGCCATGAGCATGATCTTTCGGGACTATCTACGCAAAATAGTTGAATGCTACATAGACGATCTGGTCGTGAAAAGTCGTAGCAAAGATGACCACCTCCAAGATTTGGAAGTAATGTTCGAACTCATGCGATCTCATCAACTCAAGATGGACCCTATGAAGTCGTTCTTAGGAATGTCTAGCGGAAAATTCCTTGGATTCATCATCATGACGAAGGGAATTCGCATAGACCCCAATAAAGTACGAGCTATCCAAGAGCTGCAACTGCCCCGGAATGTCAAAGAATTAAGGGGCCTCCAAGGTCGCTTGGCTTATATCTGCAGGTTCATTTCGAATCTTTTAGGTAAGTGCTAGCCATTCTCTAAATTAATGAAGAAAGGCGTGTTCTTTGTATGGGATGAGCCCTGCCAACGAGCGTTCGACGAGATCAAAGCCTATCTCTCCAACCCACCCGTCTTGGCGGCTCCGGTCTCAGGGAAGTCATTCCTCATCTATATACGGGCCATAGATCATTCCCTTGGCGCTCAACTGGTGTAAAACAACAACGTCGGCCATGAGCAAGGTATCTGCTACCAAAGCAGGACTCTGCAGGGAGCCAAACAATGATACCCTATGGTTGAAAAGGAATACCTGGCCTTGGTGTTCTCCATCCAAAAGATGCGCCACTACCTGGTTGGCCAAACCATCCATGTTATTTCTCAACTAAATCCCATCTGGGTCTTCATGACACAACCCAGAGCCTTAAACTGGCGATTGGCTAGGTGGACGCTCTTGCTTTCTCAGTACGACATCCACTTCATGCCACAGAAGTCGGTTAAGGGGCAAGCCATCTGCGACCTTATGGCCAGTCATCCGCTGAAGAAAATAATTGACTTGTTGGAAAATCTGCCAGATGAAACCCCTGAGGTCAACACAACTTCTCCCTGGAAAGTTTGGCAATTGTTCTTCGACGACGCTTCTCACATCGGTATGAGCGGGTCTATTGTTACGGGAGTGGGGGTGGTCTTGATCTCCCTACAAAACCTTGTGTTACCTCAGGCCTTTTCTCTGATGGAGCCATGCACCAACAACGTGGCTGAGTACAATGCACTGCTCATTGGACTCGAATTGGCTACGGAACTAGAGATAAATCACCTCGAAGCATACGATGACTCTCAACTAATTGTCAAACAAATGACGGGAGAATATGAAGTCAGAAATGATGATCTGATCCCGCTTCACAAGGCCGCTGCCAAACTGATCATGTCATTCGAAATCTTTTGCATTGAGCATGTGCTTCGCTCCAAGAATACGCACGCGGATGCCCTGGCGTCATTAGCAGCTAACTTAGCCCAGCCACTGGGGATGACCCAACGTGTCACCGTCGCAAGTCGACGACTCTTTCGGTCGGAAGATGTTCTGGAAGTGAACACCACTCATCTAGCCCCGAGCCAACCTGGCTCGAAAGATTGGCGTTTCCCGATCATCGACTGCGTCTTATACGGTATACTGCCCGAAGATGTCAGGGAGCGAGAGTCGATTCGCAGGCACACCACTAGATTCTACTACGACTCCACTTCTAAGACACTATATCGCAGGTCGTATGATGGCATGCTACTCCGATGTCTTTCGACAACGAAAGCACAGGAAGCCTTGCACGAAGCCCATGATGGTATTTGTGGGGCCCATCAGCCTGGTCCTAAGCTATGGGATCGCCTGTGAATGATAGGATATTATTGGCCTGGGATGGTCAGTGATGCAGTCACATATGTAAAGCATTACCATGCTTGCCAATTACATGCACCAGTCGCCTGAAGACCTGCACCCGACAGCGACTTCATGGCCATTCGAATCGTGGGGGTGGGATATTGTCGGACCAATATCTCCACCATCAGCAAGAGGTCATCGCTTCGTACTAGGGATCACCGATTACTTCTCGAAGTGGGCCGAAGGTGTTCCTTTAAGAGAAGTCAAAACCAATAACATAATCAGATTCATCAAGCATCACATCATATACCTATACGGCATTCCAAGGCGAATCATACATGACAACGACACGTAATTTGTGAGTCATGCATTCACCCGCTTCTGTGACAGGTTCAGGATATAGAACCTTGCCTCCATGGCTTATAATCCCTCGGCAAACGGTTTAGCCAAGGCCTTCAACAAGACGATTGTTAAGATCCTAACCAAGCTAACATCTAGTTACAAACGCAATTGGAACAAGAAACTTGGCGAGAGCTTGTGGGCGTATCGCACGATGGTCCGTACGCCGACCGGCACCACACCTTACTCATTGGTATATGGCTGTGAGGTCGTACTACCTCTTGAGATCTAGATCCCATCCCTCTGCATCGCCCTCGCGATGGGAATGATAACGGAGGATAGCCATCAACGGCGTCTCACAGACTCGAAGTGCTAGAAGAGAAACAGCTGGAAGCTCAATAACATATTGAGTTCTACCAAGCCCGAATAGCCAAGGCCTTCGACAAGAAAGTCAAGCGTCAATCCTTCAAGGAGGGAGAATTTGTCCTTGCCGTTCGCCGACCGATGATTCTCAACTCTAAAAAGAAGGGCAAGTTCTAGCCCAAATGGGAAGGACCATTCATGGTAGAGATAGTCTATTCGAATGGAGCCTATCATCTTGTCAAACCAAATGGTGATAAGATCATGATGCCTATCAACGGCAAGTTCTTGAAGAAGTACTACCTTTAGTACTCCCCTAAACTCTTACAAGTGCACGAGTCTAAACTGCCCTTTCCTCCTCCAACCGGGACACGAGGCTAAACTGTCCCTACCTCATATACTCCATCATATACACGAGTGTGGGACACCGCTTACGGGGAACCCCCGGAAGATACTACATATAGTATTCTTAGGGATAACCCAAAACCCCCCATTCAGTCAAACCTTTCTACAGTTAGGACCAAAAAAAACTATCAAGTTAACCCCCACCTCTGATACTCATTCCTCTGTCAGTTTCATTCAACTAGACGATGGATCCCTTCAAACTATCAAGTTAACCCCCGCCTCTGATAGTCATTTCTCCGTTAGTCTCATTCAACTGGATGATGGATCTCTTAAAACTGTCAGGCTAACTATTCACCTCTAACAGTTTCCTTCAAGTTGTCCCCGTTAGTCCTCTCCAATAGGACGATGCGACGAACTCCCACTGTCACGTTAACTATTACCTCTAGCAAAATCAACTTACCAATCCTCTCCAATAGGATGGTAAGCCCATAGAGTTTCTCACATCGCAACATATAGTCCCGTCACGTTAACTATTACCTCTGGAAAAATCAACTTATCGATCCTCTCCCATGAGACGATAGGTCCTCATAATTGCTCCGATCGCAACAAGATTTTATTATGTTAATGATCACCTCTGGTAGCCGGCCCCATCGTTCCCACAAATGACACTGCCCGAGTAGTAACCTACCATGTGACGTGTTGCTACTTCGATCGGTCGTCACACTCATATGTCCCTGAATGACTCGACCCATTCCGAACGCTCTAATATTCTCTTAGAACAATCGATGGGTAGCAGCCCACCATGCGACGGCTCCTATAATAATCGATCATCACACTCATATGTCCCTAAATAACTCGACCCATTCCGAATGTTCTAATATTCTCTTAGAACAATCGACGGGTAGCAGCCCACCATGCGACGGCTCAGCCTTCACACGGGCGATGGCAGAAGTGGAGGCGTCCATCTGAGCCTATGTGTAACACTACCGAGTTGTCAAAAAGGCAACGTGGGATTCCAAGTCAGTCAGGTTCCTTGCTCGAACCTCCTGCTCCCATTCACCTCGACGCCGGGCATGAGCCGAGCATCGCTCCAAGTCAGGCCCTAGGTCGCGCCTGGCAGCTATGCTTCAACGTGTTAGGCCACGATTCTAGGTAAATTAGCCTAGCCATACAACGTGAAGCGACTTGGGATTCGCCCAGCCTTCTAAGGTCGGCCACCCGGTCTAAGAGAGACTGCTTCAAATCAACATAAGTCCCCCAACCTAGACCGACGATGGAGATCACCTGCCGTGCAGCGTTCTCCAATTCCTCGACCCGAGCTAGTGTAGGAAGGGAGCCCGAAGAGACAGGCTCTTATCCACGGGCGAGTACGACGATGGGCGGATTCTCAGGGCAAAGCCCGGCTTCCGATTCGGGAGCAGGTTAAGAGGCAGACGCGGTCGTGACTTCCTTGGATTCATCATCCGAGACAAGGATAGGTTTAGGTGTGGGACCCTCGATGGTCGGCCCCTCTTCTCGAACTGCATAACGCGACAAAGAGTTTAAATTTGGGAAGTCATCTTGCTCACAACTTAACCTACCTTGAGGGTTAGATACAGATGTACCTCTGGCAGCAGCGGCGGCCTCGCCAACAGTAGAGGAGGAAGCCCTCCTCTCCTTCTTCAAAACAACCACTTTCACTCGTGGAGCCATCTTAACTTCAGTAAGAGGAAGTTTGAGTTTTCTATGATTGAAGAAATAAGCACCGTAATCCCCAAACGAGGAATGTGAACGTTATATACGACAGGCTCGTGCGCCTGCCCACCATTCGATCTGATGGTTCGAGTTGAACTGTGCGGTCAAAGCACGGGGATTCAGAATCCCACACGAGCGGTTGAGATCTGGTGGTTATTAAACACGATTTGTATCCAACGGCCTAGATCGGGCGTGGAAGACGAAGAGCCCCATCACTCTGCCTATAATGTGAAGCGACGTACCCACGTCGCCTTACCTGGCAAGCACATTGATCCGCAAGCAGACACGTTCCCACAGCACCGCAAGATTCAAGCTCACCTGGCTCAAGCTTGCCTGACAATCTGGGCTCGCGTACGAACTCAACCCGGTTGATTCGAGCCTGCTTACGGCTGGGATTTTCCCCATTGGCTAAACTTGCCCGTAATAGGAATTTGCCCAATCTAACTCATCCAGCCTAGCTCGCCTACGGCCAAGATTTACCCAGTTCGAATCTGCTTGCGGCCAACTTAGAGAGGATCCGAATAAAAAAAATCTGCAGAGAAAGAATACACGCACAGGAAACCCGAGGCACCATGATTGAAACAAAAGCATGATTTCATTCATTAAGAGAAATTTGAGTACAATGATACAGTCGAACTAAATTACAAATCTCTCAGGCGCGACTCCACCTCGCAAATCTTTTGGGTATGCTTATGCTCGAGCCTGTTTAGGACCTCTCGGCGGATATTTGCTTCAGAGAGAAAAAGCAAATTCTGGACGTTGCTCTTCACCTCCTTGAGGGCTCGGTCTTTCCCCTCGGCTTCGTCAACGACCAGCTGTTGTCGAGACTTGAGCTCTACCAATTCCTCTATCAGCTATTCGTAGGCCCACCCTTTGGCAGCCAAGGAAGCTTGCACCACAACGAGAGTCTGCTTATCCTCCACTATCTCAAAGATCAAGATGGATATGCTGGAGTTAGCTTTGTGACATTCTTGGCCTACCCGTTCATCCTCAGTCATGACGCGCCTCAACCATGCCTACATAGAGGCAACACAAACGTCAGTCGAAGCAAATTTAGCCTTACGTTCAAGGATAGAATATCACCCAGATTACCTTCCGATACGATCGGTGGAGCAATTGAAACCCCCGCCTGATGTTCCACACCGGGTGTTGATGGGGCAACCTCCGAGGCTAACAGGGCTGTTTCCGACGCAGCGCCTAGAGTGGGCATAGTGACCTTAGTCATAGGGTAGTTACCTCGTGAACC